GATTCAGTGAGTGTTAAACTTTTGAGTGGGTTCCGAAACTTCAGTTAGGTTTAAACTTAAAGTTGTTAGTGAAACTTTCTAGAATTTCAACACTTGAGCCTCGACCCTGGATCTAGCGGTCTTTTAGTGTTTATTTTTTATCATATTTATAAATTTGTTGAAAATATAACATAATATCACGATTTGTTAACCCCGAAGGGGTAGAGGTGCACATTTCGGCACTTAATGCCGCTGTACAATGTAACACCCACCTTTCACTATTTATGTTATAAATCCGATGTAATAGGGGGTGAGCCTATTGCCATATACCGGGCACATTTCCAGACTCCGTGCTACTACTGAGATTTTTAAAAACCCAGTAATACTTTGTCTGACCCTGAATCGAATCTGAGACCCTTTGCACCCCTCCCACTTGCGACCACTCGGTCAACGAGGCAGTATGGCAGTCAGCAGGGAGCAGAGCAGTGTGAAAATATATAATGTATTATTGTTATTGCATTTACTTATGGCACATTAAAGGTGTAAGGGTTAAAGTATTCGCTAAACTGTCGTTTCAGTACTTATGGGCAAAAAGTATTTAAGTTATGATAATGTTTATAAAATGACTTAAAATAATTAAAGTATGAAGAGATATTTAAGTTTAAAAATTTACGTAAAATGTGTTTTACGTTTTAATGCGTTGATAATGTAGACATTGTCAATAAAATTAATATTCACTATTACTAAATGAAAATATAGACAACTTAAAATATAAATAACTATGAACTAAAATATTTACACCTTAAAAAAATAAAATAAAAAAGCTATAATAAGGCATCAAAAAAAAATTTCCTCATCGTTATCGTGAGGTAGGGTTAAAATGTGTAGTTTTTCTTTGCATAATGAAACGCACTCAAAACAATTATTATTTTCTTTATCTTTTATTAAAATGAATAACAAACACCATTAAACCATTAAGGAAGCATATTTTATCGCACCCCACGTGATAATATTGCTTTTAAGCGCATGAAAGTTCCTGAGATCACCGATAGGGGGCGTTGCTGTCACTACGAGCATAAACTACCGACAGCATCGATATATCGGGACTTGACACTCCATTAAACAGCTTTGTGCACGCTTATAGAAAATGTTATCGCCGTGTTAATGTTAATAGTAAAATACATTAGTTTTGAGACTTGAAACATAGGTCCTTAGATCTAGAAAGTAGAATTATTTATTTGAATATTTTATATTAAAACTTTCGTGATTTAAAAGGAATAATAATAAAATAATAAAAATCTCTGGATATACACCAAGTAGGTAAGCAAGTGTTGCAAGTGTTAGCCACAATCAAAAAACATTTTTTTTTCTTTTGATGCCTTATCCCTTTGACCGTCATTATAAACACAATTAAAGAACAATAGGTTGCGGTCACCGGTGTCCTCGCGGTGTTTGACAGTTTAAGATAGCTTTTAAATAATAATTAAATTAATATTTTTGAAAAGGACCTGGGTTACTCAATAACACAGCTCTTTAACCCTTTTAAAATATATTTGTGTTAATACACGTAGAAAATGAAAATCAATACATATTATATTATAAATGTCATCTCTGTATAAAAATAAAAATTAATCCCTTTGTCCCTTGGTCACGGCATCACGCGTGAACGGCTGGACCGATTTCACTTATTCTTTTTTTGTTGTATTTGTTATTATTAGTAGAAGGTTTTTATGACAGAAAAAAATCCAAATCCTGGAAACCCTACGGGAACGAGAGTTAATGGGATTGTGCGTACGAAGTCGCAGGCAGAAGCTAGTAATATTATAAATGGAAAAATATGTATGTCTGTTTGTTTGTTCATCTTTCACGGCAAAACAGAGCGACGAATTGCCGTGATTTTTTAAAGGGAGACACAGTTGAAAGGATGAATGGTGACATAGGCTAAACTGTGAAACATCACGCTACGATTAAAAGAACCCGAGCATTGTACACCCGCGCGAGAGTAGCCAATATTAAATATAAAGTCGGTAAAAACGAATCAATTCAAAATAATCGTAGTCAATATATAATCGGCACTAGCAATATCACGATTATTACATTACCTAATGCGATATCAGTACTAATGCGGTGTGACTTGTAAGCTGATAATGCCTTCGGCAACTAGACCGTCCCTCGCAGGCTTAAGCTGACAACGTGCCATTAATGTCATAATACATTGTAGAACCAAATGGACATTATTTGGATTATCATTTTGGTACTATTTTAGCGTTATAGCTGAAGATTGGATAAGGAGAGTTTTTCCTGTTGGCTGGTTAGTTTATGAGCTCCATGTTATAGAAGATGTAATAGAAATGCTTTTTCGAATCAAGGCAAGTCAAGGCTATTGAAAAATGGTAAATTATAGTTTTGAAATTTTTAATATACCCAAAGTTTTTGTCACAATTGGAACCGATGAGGCAACTTTATTGTATAACTAGCATGTTGCGCGCGGTTTCACCCGCTCTGCTGGGCTCCTATTAGTCGTAGTGAGATGTTTTATAGCCTATAGCCTTCCTCGATTAATGGACTGTTTAGCACAAAAAGAATTATTAAATTCGAATCAGTAGTTTTGGAGATTAGCGCGTTCAAACAAACAAACAAAAAAACAAACTCTTCAGCTTTATAATATTAGTATAGATAATAATTATACTAATTGTACAATCGCCTGTAAGACAAGGGCATAAATGCCAATATCCCTTAGTATCCTTTCCACAATCAGATTTATTCAAAGTACGATATGTACTTGCGAAATTTGGGTAGGTACATACCTAAAACATTTCGACCAACTACACAAGGTTTATTAAATTACAACAGGTAAACGAAAAACTAACAAAAAAGAAACCTTTTCTTCGAAGAAAGTAAAATAAATACACCTTTTAGCAGTCAATAAATTTTTCCTAAATAAAGTATTACATTCACACCTAAGAAATTTACAGAACCTCCTGTATATTATGTGAATTAATGTTACCAATACGTTAAATATGTATAGCAAACCGTCTAGGCCTTTGCCTGTCTAAATTTGTTACTACATTATTTACCTTGTGTAATGTTGAATAGATACTATTTTAGTTTGTAACAATATTTAGAGACGTGTAGGAATGTCTATTTCGTTTGAACGTATTGAAATTGTTTTATTTGGTCGCTTTTATTTTTAAGTCTGTTTCTAGGAATATGTTCTATTGACGGCCAATTCCATTCGAAAATAAATTTGTCTAATCTAGAATGTCTGCTTTTTCATTTCTGTCCCATTTTATATTAAGTTTATCCAAACCTGAAGACTTTTGACTCAACCTAGAATTAAATTTACATACAAGGCAAGCATGAAATCAGAGCAAAAATGTCACCAAAATCTTTAACATTCAGTTTCCTTTTTGGCATACAAATAGAACGATTCGATAAAGTACGTAGGCTCATAGATCACATGAACCGGACATATGAAGCAATATTTTCGTACCATCATGTCATGTATGTTAACATAAATAATAAAAGGTGTGTTCTCTGTAACATTTACTATTATTATACATATATATGTATATATACGTACACGTGTATGTGTGTCTAATGCTTTCACTAAACACGCAACCTTTTCATATCAAAAATGTCAACGTGGTCCTTTAGTAACCTAATTAAATGTTGACCTAATTAGTTCACTAATTTGAATATTTATGTAGCTATTTGTAAAGTAAAAATGGTGGTTATGCTAGAAATTTAGGCTTGGTATTAAGCTGGTGTTTTAATTATAAGTTAAGTTCAACTCTTGATTAAAACTAGGCTTAAAAAACGACCTTATAATAAACCGTATTATACCTACTAACTAAAGTTAAAATAAAATCTCTTTCTTAAGTATACTGTTGAAAAATAATTTTGAAAAGACAATAAGAAAACAAAAGTCATTCCCAAAAATCTATGTTCTTATTTCAATTTCTCTAGTCATCGTCTTCTATCCAATTGTTAGTTTGTTTATAAAGAAAATATTGGACATAATACAAATTCTATTACACTCAAGCATTCGTATCACGCATAGAATAAAAAGAACAAAGAAAACAATGCTGTTATTAATCCCGAAATTGCTTTTTCGAATGACAAAACGAGTGTGGCAATAGCCCAAACAACTTATAAGCATCAAACTTGAACATTGTAGTTTACGAAAGTTTCGAAGCTAATCTGAACAAAACATATGTCATTAGAGTATCAACGTCCTCCCGACTATGACGTAATCAGTTTCTCGAAACTTCTTATTTGTTGCCCGTTGTTTACGAAAGCTTTGATTATTATTATTACTTGATCACGTGTCTGTTTTTCCACGTGTACGTCGGCTCCCCAAGGTTGTGTTTTACTGTCCTTATTTCTGTCGCAATATATTAGAACAGCAGTCCTGAATACGGCCCGGTTACACGGATAATACGCAGCCTTTCTCTGTATTTGTTTCGTTTATGAAGTGAACACCTGAACTATATGGAGATTCGTTTGTTTCGCCAGGATTAACTGAGCAAAATCCTGTCGCTTCTGCCCAACTTTGTTGGATGTTTACAGGTAATTTGAGTGTGTGACGTTCAGGGACAACCTCCTACGTTTCCCAGGAAAATATATTTTCGTTTTCGTATCTGTGATGGTATAAAAGATTATTATTCACCCGTACACCGTCATGTAATATGTTAACTTATGAATGAGCCATTTTGGGTGTATCACATCGCATTTGCGTGATTTCTGGCAAATAAATTGGCCCCATTTTTGGTTACCAGGAAAAACGACTAAAGGTTTGTTATGTGAAGCCACACAGTAGATATATTTGTGGACTTTTGTTTGCCCTTAGTGTTCATACATGATATGGAAAGAAGATATGATTGAATGCTATATTTTTGTAAATTATTTTTTTTCTTACACCATCTATTGTGTATGTACACTGTCTATGAAGCAATAATGTAAGGTAGCATTAGAACAAACTGTCAGTTTTTAAGGACCTCTTTCTCCATTTGTTACAGCACTTCTCTTGGACACTCTCAAGATAATACAGAGGGCAGTTTGCAACGACGAGACGGTAGCCCTAGCATGTCCCCGAGGCACCACCATCAGCATACAAGTAGCTCAGTATGGAAAAGCTGGAGAGGAACAAGGATGTCCAGCTTTGAGTACTGAGCTGGCCGAGGAGAACAAAAATTGTAAGAGGCCAAATGCCATGCAGGTTGGTTTGAATTTAAAAAATATTTCGATTTTATTTTGTTGGTGGGGATTGAAATAATAACAATTGATTATTTATCCTTCTTTAAACAACAAAGAGTATGGAATAACCTTATTTTGTGGAATCTTAGTAAAATATTCAGATTTCGATTAGAATGTTTTTTTTTATTTGTGTTTTTGCCTTGTTGGCTGTGTATCGGATTCCCGGGTTGGGTAAAGTATAATTAGGTTTAAAAAAAAATCAACAGTAGTACAGAGTCTGAAATTATGTCCGGTATATGGCAATAGGCTGACCCCCTATTACATGAGACTCATAACATAAATAGTGAAAGGGGGTGTTACATTGTACAGTGGCACTAAGTGCACCTCTGCCTACCCCTTCGGGGAAAAGGCGTGATATAATATTAAATGTATTCTGTATCAATTAAGAGTATTACGTGGTAAATAAGCAATAGTTATAAAGATAGAAATAGTTATTTTTTGTGCTACTTTATTCGATTCTGATATTAATCATGTCTGCGAAGTTTCGCTAATTAAAACTTACTTTTTCTTGTCTATAGGACTTGATCATTTGTCCATCTTTATTCAATAATTTCGTTGCTAGCCTTTCTCTAGTTATCCAACTTCTTGGAAAGGCTTGCTCACTTTGTGTGAATCTGTAGGAATCTTCGGAATTTTTTACAGTAACTAACAAAATTAAACTGTCAAACACCAAGCGGTTACCGGTGACCCCGACCTATTCTTTAATTGTGTCTATAAAACCGGTACTCGACGAGTTAAACCTTAAAAACTTTAAATACTGACTGCCTCGTTGGCCGAGTGGTCGCAAGTGCGACTGCCGGGCAAGGGGTCCCGAGTTCGATTCTTGGGTCGGGCAAAGTATTACTTTTTTTTTTAAGGGGTGAAAATCATCGAATGACTGCTCCCGCCTGGGTGAGGCGGAAGGGAGTGTCAGACTCTTACTGACTAAAAACCACCCCGTTCCTTCTCCTGCACGTCGAGCCGGAGCCCCGGTTACCCGTTAGGTTCTCCGCGACCCCGAATCGGCATCGGCCCTATTGGGCCCCATCTGTGGTGGTCTGATGGCTCTTTGAGGCGCGCGCGGAACGCTACGCGCCGTACGCTCGGGGGGCAAAGTATTACTAGGTTTAAAAAAAAAAAAATCTCAGTTGTAGCACGGAGTCTGGAATTGTGCCCGGTATATGGCAATAGGCTCACCCCCTATTACATGGGACCCATCACATAAATAGTGAAAAGTGGGTGTTACATTGTACAGTGGCATAATGTGCACCTCTGCCTACCCCTTCGGGGATAAAAGGCGTGATGTTATGTATGTATGTAAACTTTTAAATACATTAGAATTTAGCTTGTAATTATTAAGTATTTAGCTGACTTCATAAAAAGGAGGAGAGAATTTAACCTGTGTGTGTGTGTATGTATGTGTGTTTGTGCGCAATAATCAAGCGACTGGCTTGATTGATTTTGATGCGGTTTTCAGAAAAGTGTTTGTTACACTTGGAAAAAGGTTTCAGTATAATAATTAACCGACTTCAAAAAAAAGGATTGAAGTCGATTTGTTAAACCGTAGTTTATAAAATAATTTATGTTAATTTGAGTTTATTCAGTAACTAGCTACTTTCACACGCTCTGCTCACCTCTTATTAGTCGTAGCGTGATGCTTTATAGCCTATAGCCATCCTCGATAAATGCGCTATCCAACACAAAAAGAATTATTCATATCAGACTTGTAGTTACGGAGATTAGCGTGTTCAAACAAACAAACAAAAAAACAAACTCGTCCGCTTTATACATACTTATAATAGTATAGGTAAGATTTAATTTTATGTACTCTTTCCGAACAAATTAGTTAGAAATATTTTATAAACATCGAAAAATACACCATAAAACAAGATTTAAATTAGGTATAACACTATCGGAAATTGTTTTAAATTCATACATTTATTAAAACTATTCAATATCGGTTCCATTCAATAAACCAGTATAAACCACTTATTGAAACATTAGGATGCGATTACACTCGCCGCGCCGTGCGGATTGTTACCAGCCCACGATTCACTGGCTCGGTCATATAACGCATTCTGATTGGCTGGCGCAGTGTGAATCCTAATTAGGTAATGAAATGAGCTTGTATGCGGACCGCGAACAAATGTAATGTCCTCTTTATACATATTTTGAATATATTTGAATTTGGAACAGAACAATTTTTGTAATCAGTAGGTATTATATTTTCATTCATCTGTATTTTTTTTAAATGTGAAGGGATATTTAGTCGTATGTTAGCAAGTATAACTTTTTTGCTGACGTTACTTACCTACTCACAAAAAACATACATATTTTACATTAAAAATTACCAAACCGTAGAACAGTTTATTGTTTGATCATGCCTTTTATTCCCGAAGGGGTAGGTAGAGGTGCACATTACGGCACTTAATGCCACTTTACAATGTAACACCCAATTTTCACTATTTATGTTGAATCCCATGTGGTGTGACTCAACATAAATAGTGGGTAAGCCTATTGCCATATACCGGACTCAATAAATTCCAGACTCCATGCATATAGTGAGTTTTTTTTTTAAAACCTATTAAGACTTTCCCCGATCCGATAACCGTTTCATTACCCATAGTTTCATTACTCAACATATAAAAAAAAATTGGGCATTTTATTATGCTCCAACAATCCTTTACCACATCCTTATTCCAGAAGAAAAAATTAACTCCTCATCCCATAAAAAAGAAACAGAAATCATAAGATTTCTTGTCACTATTATTGAAGTGTTAATAAATAAATCAGTACAATCTTCTTAAAAAAACGAGAAAGAGGTCTATTCATGAAACATTATTTTGCAAAGGTGTCGAAATAGCGGATGTCTACAGGCTATAACAAGCACTTAACATCAGGTGCTCCAATGGGCCGTTTGTAATTTTTCACATAAAAAAAGAAAGATGACTTTAATAGGAAACATTAGATCCCCTTTTTGCACTTAAAGCGATATTTTTTCCTTGAGGCACTTTCAAATTCGATGATGTATGTCGATCTTTTAGGGTAAAGATAATTTATTTCTTTTGAATAGATTATAGTTTAAAATAGAAGATAGTTATATTGTTTAGGTACACGTACCATAGCCACAGATTTACATTTACATAGCCACAGTAAATGCTAGATTAGATAGTGAAGATATACAAAATTGTTATCCATGATCAATAAATTGTTCTAGTATTTAAGTGTGGAGTGCCATGTAGCACGAATGGGTCGACACAACCGAAGTGATACCACGGCCTTGCAAAAAACCGACATGAAACAAAGCTTGCGTAGTACCCCCGCCCCCCTTCCAATCTCCCCAATTCCTGAATTCCCAACAATCCTCAAACTCCTAATCCCCAAAAGGCCGGTAATGCACTCGTAACGCCTCTGGTGTTTCAGGTGTCCATGGGCGACGCCGATTTCTCATTCAGGCGATCCGTCTGCCCATTTACCGGCTGTTCCCATAAAAAATAGTTTTACATTAATCAAAGATTCTTTCTACACAAAGACCTATCATTGATAGGTATACCTATAGACAAAAGAATTTTAAAATCCATCATATCTGTCTTAACCCATAGATCCCCAAGCGGTCACCGGTGACCACTCTCCACTAATATAACATTACATTATAGACCTTATTTGCAATGTTTAGAGACTACTTTTGTATGACCAAATTTAGGGGATGGATTTCAACGGGACTACAAATCTATATTTATAAAAATGAAACCCGTTTCCCGTTGTCACGCCATAACTTGAGAACGGCTAGACCGATTTGGCTGATCTTTTTATTAACAAAACCACTCAAGCACAGAACTAACAACATTCCCTTCTCTTCTAGTACTCATTACTGCAGACGGTGGTGGAAGCTTGCCAGAAGAAACCACAGTGCAAGTTCAGTACGCTACCAATGGCCGGGCTTGTAGACCCTTGTCCGACGCAGAGCAAGTACGTTGAGGTCGCTTATAAGTGCCGTCCGTGTGAGTATTACAATCCATATTAGTCTTACAATCATCATCATCATCATCAACAGCCTATAAATGCCCACTGCTGAGCAAAGCCTCTTCTCACACGGAGAAGGCTAGAGCATTAATCACCACGCTTGTTCAATGCGGGTTGGCGATTTCAAACTTATAATTTGAAATTGTAAGCCCAAGTTTCCTCACGATGTTTTCCTTCATCACCGTTTGTTAGTGGTGTCTAAATAATCTTAGAAAGTACATATAACTCGGAAAAAGTCACATTGGTACTTGCTGTTGGTAAGTTTCGAACCCGCACCCTCATGCATGAGAAGCGAGCGTCTTAAACCTCCGGGCCACCACGACATCAATTAGTCTTACAATAACATTAAGTAAATGTGCTGTGAACAATAATGAAAGGGAATGATTAATTAAAAAATATAAGTTGATTAAATTAGATGAGTGAATGTCGTGGTGGCCCGGAGGTTTAAGACGCCAGCTTCTCATGCATCTAAGGTTATCTAGACATCAATGACAAACGGTGAAGGAAAACATCGTGAAGAAACCTGGGTTTGTAATTTCTAATTATAAGTCTGTAATTGCCAAGCCGCATTGAGCAAGCGTGGTGTTTAATGCGATGGGGTTGATTAGTACATTTTTGCGGATATCCTTACCCCGAGTATCATAAATGTCGACTAAAACCGGGAATTGCATCGTTTTCTGATTTATAAACCTGATCCTTCTAGTATTAATCTGTAGTTTAAATTAGTTGTTTTAAAACTTTGCCACACACTATATTTTCTACTGTGTCACAAAAAAATGCTTCAGCGGGAATCGAAAGGATACGGCAGGCAGTTCCTCAGCCACCACACCAACCGTGCAGTTGAGTAAATCAGAAAGATAGAGTTACCTCTTATTAATTTTATATCGGCCACATCATCACTTACCATCAGGCGAGATGGCGGTCAAATGTCGACCTATAAAATATAAAAAAAAATGCTACCAATAAGCAGGGATCCTGAAATCGCGATATTGCTTTTTTTATAGAATTAAAACATTTTGCCCGTACCATTTTAGCTCTAAGTTCGATTTTACTTTGTCTTCAAACTTTTTTACCTTCTTTGTATATTAGCAATGTTAGACAGTTCCTAGTTTACCCTCTTAACTCGAAATGCACTTTTTACTTGTTCAAAATTATAATTATGAAATCTCGTACTTCTCCTATGCTTTGAATGTATTTTAAGTTAGTAATGTAATATTCTAAGAAAATTGAAGTACGGCGTTTAAATTGTATTATTTAAGTTCGACTCTACAAGTTTGTTTCTATTTTTATACATACTATAGAGTGAATGTTAAAGATGACATAGACATAGTATCTAACCAATAGGCCAAATTTAAAATACCCCTCTATATCAGAACCCAACGGGTTACCGGGGCTCCGGCTCGACGTGCAGGAGAAGGAACGGGGTGATTTTTAATCAGTAAGAGTCTGACACTCCCTCCCGCCTCACCCACACGGGAGCAGTCATACGATGATATTCCCAGCTTAAAAAAAAACCCGTCTATATCATTACCATCACCAACATTTTAACTATAAGCCGTCCACCAATACCCATATGCACCCCTAATAACATTCAGATTGGCCGGTTGGAACCGACTTGCATTTAGCGGCTCTCTGCGACCCTAATCTGATTGACTACTTACTTGTGTAATTGCCAAGAAAATTTGCTATTTTATAAGTACACCATAGTAGGTCGTAAGTATGGTCCATACCAACTGATCCATACAGTATGGATCGGTCACGCAATCAAAGCGTCTAGAAAGATACTAAAAGAAATGACTAGGATTGATTTGGTCGCTGACACTGATACCTATATTACTCGATGTCCACTGGATTTCTACAACATGTAGACATCAAGTGACATAGCTCCATGTCCTGTACACATTTAACTGGTTGCGCGACTTACCGTACGACACAAGGCTCAAAACACTGTTTCTTATACCTAAAGTACTATGTAATATTCTCATAACGCTCCCACTATTACTTTTACGACTCGATTATTTTGCTGCATAAAATTTGCGCTTGTAGAAAACTGAATTCAGCAAGTTGTGAAATTATTAACTGTGTTCGTGAGGTCGGTAATAGCTCAATGAATTAAAGTTTTAGTTGGAAACGCTACTAATCATTTTGTAATAGTTGAAAAGGAAATTAACACTTTAGTTAGCTACTCAGTGAATGGAGAGTGAACAAAACGTACTATTTATAAACTAGAAATAAGTAAATTATTTAAACTTTGGATATCTTTTGTATTTAAAATTTGTATTCGAATTATGAAGAAAATAATGTACTTGTGATTTCAAAGTAAGATGTTTACGTTTTTAATGATATAAGGGGGTAAACGAGCAGACGAATCACCTGATGGTAAGCAATCGGTGTAGACGACTGAGACCTGAAACACCAGAGGCGTTACAAGTGCGTTACCGGCCTTTTGGGGATTAGGAATTTGAGGATTGGATGTGGATTCAGGGATTGTGGAGATTGGGGAAGGGGAGGGTAATTGGGCCTCCGGTAATCTCAGTCACACGAGGAAACACAACGCAAGCGTTGTTTAACGTCGGTTTTCTATGAGGCCGTGGTATCACTCCGGTTGAGACGAGAAAAGTTTTGTTGCATAAAAAATGTAAATTCGATCTTCGGGCTGAGCCAAATTTCCATTGAGTAATCCAGTAGCCCAGAGTTTTAAACTTTTCACCTAGGTACTGCTTAATAACACATGCTAAAGTACATTGCATGTGAACTTCTCCCCATTTCCTTGTTATATTATTGTTTAAGTACTAAGTAGTTGCTTCATGTCGGCAACTATCAGGTTAATAGGTGCGAACATGATAGCTGAACTTCCAGACTTCAAGTGTCGAAAGTTCTCATCAAGAGAGTATCTATTATATTCTAGGAAGATAGTTAGGGTAGGTCACAGTATTCAAAATGCAAATAGAACACAATGGATACAAATTGATTAATAATAATTTGGTACTACACTATTTTTAATCTAATTTGTAAGTATTAAAAGAGTGGGCCAGTGTCTTCCTCTGTAATATTGTCTGCTGCGTGGTGTATATGAAATAATAAATATAATTAATATAATCGCGTTAAAAACTGACTGCCTCGTTGGCCGAGTGGCCGTAAGTCCGACTGCCGGGCAAGGGGTCTCGGGTTCGATTCTCGGGTCGGGCAAAGTATTACTGGGCTTTTTAATATTCTCAGTAGTAGCACGGAGTCTGGAATTGCGCCCGGTATATGGCAATAGGCTCACCCCCTATTACATGGGACTCATAACATAAATAGTGAAAAGTGGATGTTACATTGTACAGTGGTATAACGTGCACCTCTGCCTACCCCTTCGGGGATAAAAGGCGTGATGTTATGTTATGTTATAATCGCGTTAAAAAGAATAAACACTCAAGGAACTCTTTTGTTGCTGGCCCTGTCATTATCGAATGTAGAAAGAAAATACACGGAATTTTTTTGAAGTAGGTACTACACCAAACGGGATAGAAGCCAAGGATTTAAAAAAAGGCTGACACTGTCTCCTGATACGATTGCGGCATCTGGTTGAGAACCACCACTGAGAAAAGCTCTACTAGTTTCTACGACAACCTACGACGTAGGCTGCGCGATATCACCGCGACCACGCATGCTGTCCACGAAGAAGAACCTCTCTATGGTTCAAAACTGGTAGAGCTTTTCTCAGTATATTCCCGTGAGTAACCCACGATTTTTAGACAAATTTAAAAGCTATAGGTATTGTTGTATCGAATCGAAAATTCGAAGTAAAATAGCCATAATGATTCGTTCGTATCAAACTGTTTTTACAGTAACCCTTAACAATACTATCAGAGTTCCTTTTACTGGTCAATTGAAAGCGATCGCTTCGATAAATGCAGGGACCTTTAAATACCAACGAACGTTTATTTACGTGACTAGAAATGCAATAAATGCACTCCTAAGAGTTTAAATTGTTCATAATATAAATTCCCTCTCCGTTCTGTATTCTTAACAGTTCATAGTAATAAGAAGACCTTTTAGTAAAAACATGGAGGACTATCTATTTTGTACTAAGTATTAGCTTTCTGCGTGAGCTTAGTTCGCGTAGTCAAAGTATGAAAAACTAGCTTCTGCCCGCGACTTCGTACGCGCAATCCCGTTCTTTCCCGTTCCCGTTCGTGATTTTCGGTAAAAAGTAAAAAAAAGAATTCGATGAAAAAGTATACTATGTACGTCTCCTGGTTCTAATCTATCTCCCTACCAATTGTCATCCAAATCGATGTAGCCGTTCTTGAGTTATAAGTAGTGTAACTAACAAAACTTTCTTTTATATATATAGATTAGCTACTCCCGCGCGGGTTTTGCCCCTCTGCTCACACAAACAACCCAAAAGGAGCCCTTTTGGGTTGTAGTGTGATATTTTATAAAAATAATTATTCAATTTGAACTACTAGTTCCAATTATGGGCGCGCTCAAACAAACAAACTCATCAGCTATCACACCAACTATTGGGTAAAACTGCACAATATTTGATCAGTAGTTTTTTAGCTTATTGCTTTCAAACAGATATACGCCGAAAAGGACGTCTTTTTGCATTATATTATCTTAAGATTGGTAGTTTAAGTCTTGATTTTATTTTCCATTTTTCCGTTTCCTCGTTCTCCATTAAGGATTTCCTAATTATTCAGTGAAGACCGCGACGTATTCTAACGACCACTTGTAAAATTAATGAGTTTGCTTCATCGAAGTAAGGAGAAGAAAGCTGCTTTGCTTTTTAGGTCACATTAATAAAGTACTTTAAGCTTTTTGTAGGGTTTTTATTGATGAATGCATAACAGTGAACTTACTTTGGAGTGTAGTATGAACATATATTTAATATCGACATGTACCCATGGAGTAAACTTGTTGATTGCTTTCTGATTTATTAATGTATCTGTACTATCCAACAGCATTTTAAAGACTATTCTGCAATTAATCGAAAAGTCACCATAATAAAACTTTTTTAAACTCTATTACCGATGAAAGATCCTTAAATAACCACAAATGAATCTATCCATTACGAAAATTGGTTTGCCCAAAAAAACAGACATCCTTACCGATAACATGCCCTCTAAAACAAAAAAGAGGGTAGAATCACCGATCGCGTGACGTAACGTTTTTACTCCTGGAAGTGTATTGAAGTGATTTATGCCCAGTTAATAAATTCCTGGACGGGGTGAACGGCCGGGAGTAAGGGTGTGCGCCCTATAGGAGCGGCGTCATAGGTGTGGTTCATGCACATTAAACGGAGCAGACGAGCGGTTCGAACGCTGTGATTAATAAACGCGTTGTCTGTTACATTTCATCGTAGGTTTTAATTCCAAATTAATAAAAATGTATTCATAAATATATTGATTGGACATTAAAATTGTTTTAGTGCAAAAGTTCAGACGACTTTGATGAATAATTCAACTTTTTAAATTTAAAACATTCATTATCATTATTGTTTAAGAATAAATAGCGTACGCTTAAGAGGTATTTTAAGGGGCATTACAGTTCATCCATAAAACATGTTTGTCATGACACTCATCAATCAACAATAATAAATACAAAACGACTTTTGAAAAATAATAGATACAAAGTCATTGCTGCCTTTTGAGAATAAAAATAATATACTTTTATAAGGCTTTTTTTATGGCATAAGCCGGTAAACGAGCAGACGGATCACCTGATGGTAAGCAATCGGCGTCGCCCATGGACACTTGGAACACCGGAGGCGTTACAAGTGCGTCACCGGCTTTTTGGGGATTAGGAGTTTGAGGATCGTTGGGTTTCAGGGATTGGGGAGATTGGGGAAGGGGAAGGTAATTGGGCCTCCGGTAACCTCACTCACACGACGAAACACAATGCAAGCGTTGATTCACGTCGGTTTTCTGTGAGGCCGTGGTATCACTCCGGTCGAGCCGGCACATTCGTGCCGAAGCATGGCTCTCCCACACTTATTTTTATAATGAACCTGATGTTTAGTGCGGCTTTTTACATGTAGGTTTATAAAAGAAAACCAACACAATATTATTATCATAAATACATAATTGTCGTGGTGGCCCGGAGATTTAAGACGCCCGCTTCTCATGCATGAGGTTTCCAAACCTACCAACGGAAAGTACCAAAGTGATTTTTTCTGAGTTATATGTAGTTTCTTAGATTATTAAGACACCACTGATAAATGAAAGCGAGCAATGACAAATGGTGAAGGAAAACACCGTGAAGAAACCTAAGCATATAGTTTCTAATTATAAGTTTGAAATCGCCAACCCGCAATAAGCAAGTGTGGTGGTTAATGCTCAAACCTTCTCTATATGAGAAGAGGCTTTGCTCAGCAATGGGCACGTATAGGCATACGTGCCCATTGCTGAGCAAAGATGATGAATAATATAAGTAACAAGGAAGAAAAAACAAACAGATAGAAACAATATGTTTCGTGTTCTTATCCAATTTCAATGCCATTGTAAATGATTTTTACAAATCAATTGTCTGTGTTTTGCCTAAAACAAAAAAATATTCATAATTTCAAAATAATTATAGTGATAGACGAGAACAAAGCTTAGTTTGAATTATTATGAACTATTATGTACGCTTCTTAAAAGGGTTTACGCTTTTGTAGTTGGCAAGACTATCTTATGACTTTAGACGATTTTATGTTTTTTTAATAGATTATGTGATAAAAAAAACCACAGTCAAAAAGTTTTATAATATTTTATGTAGGTACTTAAAATTAAATTACATTTTAGTAGACATAAAGTATATAGTTAAATAGCTGAGAAATTAAATTAAAAACATTTTTTATACATTTGTCTAGCTGTTGCCCAAACGCGTAGAATGTGACCCATCCTATTATATATTACAGATTTTTTCCTAAAAGAAGTACCGAATTTTCCTGACCTTTATACACTCTCATTGAGCTACACAAGTTCAAAGACTCCTCAAATTTTCACAAGTCAATATTTTATCATAATTTAGTAGCATGACGTTGCATAAAATGTAAATCACTTACTAGGGATGTGACGTTCCAACCGTCCGTCTACTCCCGCCATTAATATTAGTTAAAGCTTCCTTATGCAGGCGTGAGCCACTCGGACACTCGACTAATTGATACGCGAACACTCACCGACGCTTTTATCGTATTGGTGGTTTTATATTACACACTAATGGACAGAAAGGGTTGTACTCAAAACAAACGGTGATATCGATACGTCTGAGCTTATCACTTCACTAATTAGTGGCAAAGGTGATTCAATTATCGTTATTAAAATCTGCATCGAGAATCGAGTTGGGGATTAATGAATTCGATATTTGCGTTAGCGGATTTGCTCCAATAACTTAATGTTCGAGATGGTTTTGATGTTTCCATTTGTTGATTTTCAATTTCATTTTGTTTGTTTGTTTGGCAAATGTCTATTAGTGGTTCTATCGCGTATATGATATTGTTTGCAGATTGGTTTGAACTATTTTATTGTGTTTGGTCAAGTGATTTTTGTTAGACTTTAGATTGAATCGCAGGGTCAAGTACACATTAAGTTTAAGATTTCGAAAATTAAGAAATATTGGTTTATAAAACCTAATGTTACTTTGTGTTATGATACAATTTGCTGTCTGGCTCTCTAGTAAAGTCTGCTACAAGATTTTTTTCTAAATAACAAGGCAGGCTTTAGCCCTTTTTAATTAGCAATGCGATAGCCGGTGGCTAATGAATAATATTTAGTATCATGTAATATCTCATCTTATGAAGGGCAGTGACACAAATAGTTACTATGATAACGATAACTTATAATTACTAAAACACGATGTATGTTGTATTATAAGGTTTTCTATAGTTCACCTGACAGTAAGCAATCGGCGCCGCCCTTAGTCACCTAGAACACTAGATGCGTTACCGGCCATTTGGGAATTGGGAATTTGAGGATTGTGGGGGATTCGGGGATTGGGGAGATTGACTAGGGGGGGGGGGGGGGCTAGTGGGGACTCCGGGAACCTCACTCTCACGATGAAACACATCGAAAAGCGTGTGTGAGGGCGTAGTATCACTCCGATCGAGCCGGCCCATTCGTGCCAAAACATGGCTCTCCCACACTTAAACTACTTTACTATATTATTATTTTGCTCATTTTATTTGCAATAAAGATTATTATTATTACTTATAAGCATTTCTTAAAATATTCTTAGTTTTACTGCTCTGTTGGACTTCAGTCCTTCTTTTTATAGTATGAGGTGAACCGTAATTCATCACACTACAACTGTGTGCACGCCACGTGCGATGAAACCGTTTTTAAGAATAATGTTGGCTAAGTCAACTTTCTCACAAATTTTCCTTGTCATAAAGCGGCAGGGATTCTTAATTTATGTTTTGTTTTATTCATAGATTTTTTTCACATGAGAACTCACTATCTTATTTGCTAGTAGCTGCTAGAGTTTCTGTATTCAAAAATATGACGTACTTAATTTGAACCTTAAAAGTACGTCAGTTATTCCAGCTACTTACAATGTCATACTATAACATATATTATATATCTTTTCATATTTCCTGCCTCGTTGGCCGAATGGTCGCAAGCAGGACTGCTGGGCAAGGGGTCTCGGGTCCGATTCCCGGGTCGGGCAAAGTATTACAGGGAAAAAAATTCTCAGTAGTAGCACGGAGTCTGGAATTGTGGCCGGTATATAGCAATAGGCTCACCCCCTATTACATGGGACTCATAACATAAATATAGTGAAAAGTGGGTGCTACATTATACAGTGGTATAATGTAGCACCCACTTGTTATGTTATGTCATATTTCCTTTTTATATATAAAACCATTTTTTTTTCTTATAATTTTTGTCATTGTATCTAAATCATAAAATAAAAGCATAAAATTTTCCACAGATGAGTTTCGAAGCAGAACTGGCTGTGAAGGTGAGATGATCAAACTGAGTTGCAATCCTCACTCCAGGATCGCGATCTTCGATGCTCAGTACGGCAGGACAGCTTTTGAAGCAATCACATGCCCTCAGACACAAGGCGTTCCGGATGAAAGTAAGTACATTATGAAAAATCTAGTACTTATTTATTACTTAGTATTTAAAATAGTTAGTAGTTAGGCCGAGTGGTCGCAAGTGCAACTGCTGGGTAAGGTGTCTTGGGTTCGATTACCGGGAGATGGGACTCATATCATAAATAGTTAACAGTGGGTGTTACATTGTAAGTTGTATTAAGCGCCGGCCGTAATGTACACCTCTGCCTACACCATCGAGGATAAAAGTTACATAATAATGTATAGATATAAATAATCTTGACAATAAAATACACAGACACACGAAAAGAATTATAATTAAAGAAGATGGAATATTATAAATTTTTTCTCAAAAAGGATACACGTGCTTACTCGTCTAGCGATGAGTAAATCTATTATGAATACACAATAGATTTACTCATTATAATGTAATATTGTACCGAAATATATTAAGTACTTAATTGAAAAACCATCTTATCTGATACCTAGATATTATCCTATTTCCTACTGATCGTATCTTTCTAATATTATATATATTATAAATGTCGTGTGACGTCACTTCTATGTACATTTTATACGTGGAAATGACGTTATAGCCCCCTCTCCTAAATTTTAATTCGTTTTATCTAAGTATTGTTTTTACGACAAAATAAAAAAATACGTGTCTAATAACCTAACCTAACCTAACTTACGAACTAATTAGATTTTTAAATGTCATATCCTGTCATCATCCCAATTGTAAATGCGAAATTTTGTGAATTTGTATGCTTGTTATTATTTTATTCAATGACGTCAAAATGGATAAATGGATCTGGTTGAAATTTGGTACAGGGATAGACTATGGTCTGCCATAACCGCTTAATACATAGTCTTCTTTTTATTCCACGGTAGCGCGGGTAAAACTGCTGACAGGAGTTACTACAAAATATGTTCTGGTCTATTTTGTACTCGAATCAAAACAAGTTGCGCAGTACTTAAATCAAAATGCCTTGGCAACAATGCCGACACTAAATAAATGCAATTCATTTTTCTCTTTTCGATTTTTTTTATGTCTTCAAATTTTCATCCACTGTATCAATCTTGCATCCACTTTTAGATTTGCTACCAAACATTTGTACTACCGAAGCTCCCATTTTCAAACATTACAAAAGTAGGGTACTAAGTTCTAAGATGCGAGAATATTAAACTGTTTTGAGGCTTACAAAGAACATAATCATTTGGAGAAAATAAGGCGAAGGAAAGTCTCAAAGTTCTTAACAATTCAGGAGACACAACTAAATGAGGCCCTTGATAAAGTAGTAACAAACTGACGGATAATTAAATTAGTTCTTATTATTTTATTGACCTTGAACTTGGAAAGGGACTCTTGATTTATATCAAAAGACAAAACCTTCTAAATATCGAAGGCTGGTTGGTAAATTAACTTTATCTATGTATTACATATCATAACATCACGCCTTTTATCCCCGAAGGGGTAGGCAGAGGTGCACATTATGCCACTGTAAAATGTAACACCCACTTTTCACTATTTATGTTATGAGTCCTATATAAGGTGAGGCTATTGTCATGTATCGGGCACAATTCCAGACTCCGTGCTGAGTTTTTTTTTAAGAACCCAGTAATACTTTGCCCGACCCGGGAATCGAATCGAAACCCCTTGCCCGGCAGTCGCACTTGCGACCACTCGGCCAACGAGGCAGTCATGGATTAATGTATTAATGTCACCACAGATATAATAAAGATATTTCTGTGAATGTCACCTATGTATTAATGTTTGATATACAAGACATATTTATATATATAATTATTCTAAGGAATATAGAATGTCCTGGTGGCCCGATTCTCATACATGAGAGTCCGGGTTCGAAACCGACCACCGGCAAGTACTAATGTGATTTTTCCCGAGTTATAAGTACTTTCTAAGACTATCTTGAGACCACTGACAAACGGTGAAGAAAAACATCATATCCTCATGATATTTTCTGGGGTAACTGGGGCTTATAATTTCTAATTATAAGTCTGAAATCGCCAACCCGCATTGAGCAAGCGTGGTGATTAATGCTTAAACCTTCTCAGTGAGCAGTAGCCACCTATATGCTGTTGATGATGATGAAGGAATATATAAAGGCCAAACCGCTTGAATAATTGTTAAATTGTATTTATCGCATAAGAAACAAATATGTCTTGGTTAATGTTCTATTCTTGTAGACATTTTAATGAATTAATCACATAGCGTTAATTGATATTTAGATTAATCATAGCGTACAGTCTGTGACGCATTGGTGAGGTATGTTCCGTAGTCGTCCTCTGAATTAATAGACTATTTAGTGATGTCAGGATGTCAATTCCTTTGTTTGATGACTTTTGACAGCTGTGTACAATGTACATGACCTAAAGACGCAGTGGCGCCATCTAGTTTGCTTAAAGTTAGAAATAATAAATGAAAATAAATTGGTAGCAAGGTGGCATATTGTGTTCAAGAAAAATATTTTATGTTTACAGGTAAAATATATTTTAGTGTTTTAGGAAGGTATCAGTAAAAGTATTTTAGTTTGAATATATTTATTATCAACATTAACGTACTTGGCGTTAAAATACACGTAACAAAGAAATAAACAATAGTGATACGTAATTTTATTCAAAATTACGATCCAAAATAAACTACGTACATAAAAGTCGAATAATGTTCGTGGAAAATGTGTGACGAGTTACAAAATTGTGTTAATTTCATTTGTCAACGTTAACGGCAGACGGGAGTGGCATTGTCCTATATTAATGTGTGACTAGCTTTCATAATTTGTTTTAACAGAGTCCGAATTTGGGGAATTATTATGACATATTAAATAAAAGATATGATAATTATAACTACGGTATATTTGGTACACAAATTGTATAAGGAAAAGTAATGAGTGGTGAAGCCCTAACATAAGTAACAGCCTCGTTGGACAAGTGAGCGAATTACTAAGTTTTTAAAAAAAATGACAGTCATAGCACGGAGTCTGGAATTGTGCCCGGTAAATGGTAATAGGCTCACCTCCTATTACATGGGACTCATAACATAAATAGAGAAAAGTGGGTGTTACATTGTACAAGGGCAAGTGACAAAACGGATCTATGTAGCTTTACACTGAAAATGATAAAATAATAAAACAAAAACTGCGTTTTAAAACCGACAAAAAACCAAAACTAATAACAAACAAAAAGTTAAAACATAATGTGCACCTCTTACCCTTCGACGATAAAAGGCGTGATGTTATGTTATGTTATTTAGAACTATCGTGAGCCACATTAAATTAATTTGGCATTACCACTCATGTAATTATTCGAGGATGTTGCTCAATTAGTTACAAGCCAAGATAGGGCTCATAATGTAATTTATTGATTTTATTGTAAAGTAACATTAATATGGATTTCTTATACAATACCTATATTTATTAGTTTCTTAGTATTTAAGTCATAATTTTAAGATAATGGGAATAACACAGGTGGATGAATTAATATTATTTAATGTTTAGTTTTGTCTGCAGCATGCGTGACTCCTCATGCAGTGAAGACAGTCATCCAGCTCTGCCTCGGAAGACGCCGGTGTCAGATACCCGCCAACAACAGAACGTTCAACTCATCTTGCAATTATTTATCGAGGCCATATTTGAAAGTCGTTTATGCTTGTGGTAAGAATTTTATCAATTTTTCTGTCAATTCCTAAGACCAATTTTAAGAAACATATCATACACAGTTGTCTTGCTTTGTTCGTTTAATAGTCATTAACATGGCTACCCGTTAAAATAGGGTTCGATCCCCGGGTTTTGAAAAGTATTTTTTTAATTTTCACTTTCTACAACTAACAATTAGCATGGAATCTGAAATTGAACCCAATCGAAAAAAAAAACTCACACAAAATTCAAAACATAACTTGCAAAGCGTTATTGATATAATGCTTATAAAGTTATAAAAGACATGGAGATACATTATGTTAAGTCAGAACCTGATAACTATGTACTACCTCAGCCATGCTGTATATTCGGAACCGTTTCGAATTGTAAAAGCAATAATACTTGACCTAACCACTCACCAATCGCGCTAGTGACCACTAAATAAATGAAGCAGACATCGATACCTAATTAGCTTTTGGATTACAATTTAGGTTCACTATTTTGATCGTAGTGTAAATCAGTATTGTCATTCATACTAAGGACTTTATCGATACTCAAGTTTTGATTAGAATACAGGTTTTAATTTATATTCTGGTTGTGTAAAGTGTCATTGTGATCAAAAATAACGTGATGGCCCGGAGGTTTAAGACGGCCTTTTCTCATGCATAAGAATGCGGGTTCGAAACCTACCAACTGTGTAACAACAAGTACCAATGTGACTTTTACCGAGTAATATGTACTTTCTTAGATCTAGACACCACTGACGAACGGTGAAGGAAAACATCGTGAGGAAACCTGGGCTTATAATTGCTAATTATAAGTTTGTAATCGCCAACCCGCATTGAGCAAGCGTGGTGATTAATGATCAAACCTTCTCCGTGTGAGAAGAGGCTTTGCTCAGCAGTGGGCTTACTTACTTACAGGCTGTTGATGATGTAAAGTGTCATTGTACATTTTGATTCAGACCGTTTCAGTGACAATATACATAGATCATACTCACAATACTCGATTCATGCGAATTAGCTCGCCACCCATTTGCTAACGGCGTAATTGGTGTATGAAGGATAGACTAACCAATTAAAATAAGTAAAAGTAGGTAGCGATGTCACAATGTAATTCTTCATTTTTCCTTCTATCTCTAAATGAAGGTTGTTAACCTTAGCAAAATTGGCCACTGAACTATAAACTATTCACAAATTGTGTACTAATCAGTGGATAGCTTTATCTACAGCATCTACTCAATTCATGGAACCCCGAACAACTCTTGAGACGTTCCAACCCGTAATTGCGTAACTTGTTCAACTTTTGAACTACCCTGGTGCATCTTGCAAGTTTTAACAATACAAATCTCTATTTTACCTTGGAACTTTGCTCTTTACGCCATTGTTCGGTGTGAAGAACAAGAATCTATGGCCGTTTTAGTGTTATCATCGTCTTTTGCGATCTTACCTCTGCAATTTGGTGTAAAAGTTGATGTTGTTTTAAATAGATTGAAAGCGAAGAGTTTTTACACTTGAAATTTCGGCTGCTTGAGTATAATGGGAATATTTATATAAACATAGGTATTCACGCTATTATAATGTGTTCAATAAGTCTAGTAGGGGCGCATCTAAATATATACATCCCAAGCAATAATGTTGTATACCTATAGGTACCGCACGTGTGGAGTGATAAAAGCTATGAATAAAATTGACCTAGAACTATTTTTGCAGTACCACTGGGTGTTCTATCAGAAAAATATGAAAGTGCAAGTGAAGGGGACGAACAAACTACAAATTTTGACCACACCAAAGCACTTTTTGATGAATCAGGTAAAAAAATAACTTATAAAAATGTCGAATAACAAAGATAAATTATATGGCGGATTTAAATATTTTCTTTTTGCTGCTTAGAAGAAGCTGGTGAGAAATGGGGAGAGCCGAACGCAGATCGAGCCCTACAACCATCCATAAGTGATTATAATGTTCCTACAACACGCCCAGAAGTGGAAGTAACAACCATACAACAACCAAAAAAGACTGCCGACAGAAATGAAGGTAAAATTAGTTATTTTCGAATTGTAGGAAAAAGGTAGATTACATTTTTACAGTACCAAAAATAATAATTAATTTAGTATGTCACGTTGTAATACATATAAACACAGTACCAGAGGCGTTGTAAAAAAAATATTTTTAGGAATTTGTGATCTAGTTTGCTTTGATACATATTTCATCCCCAAATGCTATCCATTTTCAAGTACCTATTACACTTCCAACAAACATAATACATCAATGTGTTTGTGCCAAACCGAAACTAGAACGCATTAGTTAATTTCGTACAAATATTCGCAGCTTGTATTAGAAATAATTTGTTTGTTTCAGAACCACCGCGCAGTAATTCGATATTGGTGTTATCCGTTAGTATAGGACTGCTTATTTTCATTATCATAATTGGGGCATTCATTACTATCAGATGTTACATTAATCGCAGAACGAACCTTTCCAAAAATGGAGATATGTACACAACTGAAGCCCCAAACGTTTTCAACGATGCTTTTTCCGATATTGACAATGACGCAGATATTAGCCACATATCTGGGACGTTCCACGATCCAATGCACCCCGACATGATTTTGTACAAAAATGTCCCCGGCACCAGAGGTACTCTACGAGCTATGAAGCCGCTGTGTACAATTTATCCTTCTACAGCAGAAGCAAATATGTACGGTAACGTAGACTATGTGCCTTCACACACAACTGCACCTAGGTTTACTAGGAGCAGAAGTAATGAAGAGGAGGTAGAATCTAATGTAATGACGAGCCCAAGAAGTTTAGGAGCGCATTCCACGAATTATTACTATGGCTGACAACACGACGACGGAGGCAAATACGATGCCTCTCGGACATATTGCTTTTAGTGTAATATCTAAGTGCACAATGGAACAGAATGCTTATAAAGCAAAAGGATTGTGTAAAAATGAAGGTTAACAATATTGGGAACTGTTAAAGACTAAAGGGTTTGTTTATAACATTTTAATTGTTACATTATATTAGTTTAAGGATCTTATAATTGTTCTGTAAGTTCTCTTGTTCATTATTCAATCTGTCACGCTCATTAGAGATGCACCTATGTATCTACTTTTGCATATCGTCAATTCAGCACTTTTATATTTCAAACTATTACTACAATCCCATCTGTGATGGTTAATTAAATTATCCTCTACAAGTCTAAATATAGAAAATATTATTTGTATAGAAACTGAAGCTTCATTTATGACGTCATCATCGTCCCACACTTAGAGTAATGTAAATCCTTTTATACTTATTTTTAAATAAAAATGCGGAAAATCTGTGTTTTATTTGGGGGAACTAAAAAGAATACAACAAAAATAATGGGTGGGTCATTAACTACAGTTATGCGATATTTTCTCTTGTTAAAATGCGATGTAATGGTCGCGTGGCTGATGTCATTATCTATGGAAATGATGGGGAGATTTCGGTGGCTATCACTCAAGAAGTTAAATAGGGGAAACGGATAATGGCAGGTTGTATAATAATAAAGTTATACATATAACAATGAAATTATACATACAAAAAATGAAAGCAATAGATGATTGGAAATTGACGTGTTTTTGGAGCCAAGAACGTGAAATTGAGCGGAAAACATCTTATGGCGGTATAAAGATATATTCTGATATTTCTGTATTATGTGTGAAATGGTAAGTATTTTTTTGGTAGGAAATAAAATTCACTCTAGAAAAATATGATGCGAACATAATTGAAGTAAACCATATGCCGTTAAAGTGCTTGTAGGTATTTTTAATAATGCGTCATATGCCATGAGCATTTATGCACTTTTGACGGCATAGGTCGGCACACAAGGAAGATCACCTAATGGTAAGCAACTAGTACCACTCATGGACACCTGTATCAGAATAAGTCACGCCCAAATAAGTAAGCAAAGGTGCACGAGTAGATCATGTAACAAGACCAGTTACGTTATGATTCCTAAGTTACGATACTTTTCTACAAACCACATCAATATCAGTTCATCCAATCGCGAAATAATCGCGAACCAACATATGTACAAAACAATCATACAGGTCCAACAACAGAAACTCCTTCTATTTTTAAGTAGGAAAAAAAATCTTTTGCTACGATTTTAAAGACAGAAACAAACTGGAACTTTTTTCTTGTTTCGAAGTTGGTTAGCAAATAAATAATCTTTTGCTACGATTGTAAAGGCAGCAACAAACTATTGATAGAAAATTAAATCGGCTGAGAAATGATGAAGTAACACGGTTGTGCCATCGATACGAAACCGTAAACAAGAAGTTTGTACGAAAGAATTGTATTATGAACCTGGTTGAAAAAGAGTAGGTAAACTATGGAGTTTCTTGCTCGTTCTCCACACCTTTGAATGAGCAAATAGCTTCACTTTAAATTTTTTTGTTGACATGCAAAAGTGTCTTCTTGACGTAATTCAAACAAATGATTTTGACTTTGATTTTACTAGTAGTTACTATTTAAGTGCCAATAAATGCTTAAAACTAATGTGAAAGCAACCTTGTCCATCAGTCGGCTTAAATCGCTTTCATTCTAAGATGGCAGATTTTTATTTAATTGATTTGTATTATACTAACTATTATAGTCTATCAAAGTCAGGGTGCACGAACATTTTAGGCAAAGGTTTTTATTAAACAAAACAACCGTCAACAAAAACAACAGTCATAAATTGTAATAATTTATGACTGCTCGGTTGGCGCAGTGGCTGGGCTGCTCCACAACGTGTCGTGGTTTCGATTCCCGCACGGAACAAATCTTTGCGTGATCAACAGATTGTTGTTCCAGGTCTGGGTGTGATGTGTATGTGAAATTGTACGTTTGTAAACGCACCCACGACACAGGAGAAAATCTTAGTGTAGGGAAACGTTTTTATACAAAAAGAAAATAATGAAGGGAATAAAGCCTTCTCTCTTATATTAAAACGAGACGTGGCAATCACAAAACGTAAGTATCTATAAGAAAAATTAAGCCACCTTAGCAATATTCATGCTGAACTTTTATTATCGAGTAAGAAAGGTGATAAAAAATTTATTGAAGAAGAAAATCTTAGAAGCCATCTTGAATTCAGAGGGAGGAATCTGCATAATTTTACAACTGTAATCCGGGGCTCGGAACTTTAGTAAGATATCAATAGTTAAAGCATTAGTTTCTTGCGTAATCTCTTCAATAATTCCCATTGATTACTTCGGGGGCAAGATGTGGAATGTCTCAGGTTGATTTATCTAATATAATTAATAGGATTTAACGATCAATTTGTATTTAATTAAGATTTTTGGTTGATTTGTTGTTGATGCCAGTTACTATGAGTTGGGTTGGATTTTTGTTACACAATGTATTAGGTAATTAGGTAACATTTTGGGATTCCGAAACATAACTGTATAATTTATGGTTTTCTGTTCAAAAACCTGTTTTTATAGGTTCTGTGAGTACAATTCTGTTTATACTGCTCGGGAACAATAAACAACGATACACGAGCGAGCATTCTGCTGATATTATAATAGGACCTTTGAGAGGGAAAATAAAAAGAATAACAATATAATTATCTGTTCCTGACAGTTAACATTTTCCTCAAACAGTATTAAAAATTAAGGGAAGTGAAATTAGATAAAACACATTCATGAGTAATGAGTATAACGTTTAAATATTCGCTTTATTCCTTTAACACTAGAAAGACGGAAAAAATCATCTACCTACAAAGACGGCGAGCGGTCAAATGACTGCTCCAAGTTTTTTGATATTTTTTTTATGTTTAAGTGCTAGAAATGGTACCTATAGTATTAAACATGGTATAATATACTGTTAATTAAGTAATATGTATAGAATTTCTAATTTTATCATTTTGTTTACATTACAAAAGCCGCAAAGTGGTTTTTTGCAATTGTCGCATTCTTTATGGGTTTTGTATTTGCATTTGTGTATATAATATTTTGGAATTTACTGGATTTTGTGCAGAAGATTGAGAAGCAAAAGATCTAGACTATTCAGGTAAGGATTCAGTTTCAGAGAGTATTCTTCAATTTATACTTTGCTTCTAAGTTCGCCCCCTGAACTTAGTATAAATAGCCTTTGTTTCATGTAATATTCTACATTTTCCTATACCAAATGAAGGAATTATATCTAAAAAGGAAAATTATCTAAATTATGTAATATCTTTGCTAGGTCGCATATATGAAAAAAAAAATGTATTTCACCTTTGAGATGTTCGTAACATTTTGACCAGTACTTGCAAAAAGTTTCACAAGACGCATCGGTATCAACGGATTCATCGACATTTGACCAATTAGAGTAGATGCCATTTGAGGTGTGTACAAGATACAGTCGATAGTTGTGAAAAGACTTTGATGCTCAGGATCTTCCAAACTCCTTTCACAGCCTTTATCACTACCACAGCAACGACTACAACCACGAGAACCCGACCTGTCAACGTCTGATAAATTTGCTCGAAGTATCTGGTCTTTCAGGTCACTTCCGTCCGTAAAGGAATTCTAACTGACAAGTAGTACAACATAATCGTCTTCACTATCACGTTTTGTATTTTTAGAGTCAAAATCAGACTCATCTTCACAAATATTTTGGAAGTAACAAACATTTTTTCATTTTCAAGACTCCAACACGTTGCGACCACAAACTACTTTCAATAATTGCGTAAAAGTTCACAGGCACTTGAAAGATACGGTCTCATTTGATAAACAAACTATAAACAATGAATTAGTGTATATAATTTGTATTCTACCCTCTCATATTACACTTATAAACACTCATTGGTCGTCAGCAGTCAAATGACTGCCGCCGTCTTTGTCGGTAGATCAAGATTTTAAATAATAAATAAAAGAGTTGTGATTTATTTTCATACATAGTTGCATTTAACTAGTAAAATAAATAAAAGTCACAAAGTCTCAGTTTAAAAACTCAAATAGATTTCAAGTCATTCAACATTTAAAATCAAATTGCGGTCAAATGACTGCTCCCGTCTTTCTAGTGTTAAAATAAGCACAAAAGGCAATGTGCTTTGACTGCCAGGCAAAGTTCCATGCCAAACATAAATCGTTCGCAATAAAAACTATAAAAAGTTTGAAAATGGCGGCAAGTTTATCCCTAGTTTGTCAGAGCAGGGCGAGCTACAATCTACACAAGGCCAGTCGTGCGGGAAAACTACATTATTCAGGTGCCAAGTCCTGTTAGTTCACTCTGTTATCTCTAGATGGCGTTGTACTCAATTCACTGAAGTGAGAGAAAAAAATTCAATGAATCGTTGTGATATTTTGGTTTGTAATAGAGATAATAACTGATTTACATTTATCTTTACATAAGTAAGAATTTTGCTGTATAATTTAGTAAAAAATGTGAATATTTATTGAAAAGCTGACTTATTGTAGTAGAGTAGCTACGAGACAATAATGATTTTCAAACAACATAACATTACATCACGCCTTTTTATCCCCGAAGGGGTAATGCCACTGTACAATGTAACACCCACTTTTCACTATTTATGTTATGAGTCCCATATAATAGGGGGTGAGCCTATTGCCATATACCGGGCACATTTTTCCAGACTCCGTGCTACTACTGAGATTTTTAAAAACCCAGTAATACTTTGCCCGACCCGGGAATCGAACCCGAGACCCCTTGCCCGGCAGTCTCACTTGCGACCACTCGGCCAATGAGGCAGTCTTTATTGTATTTAAGGACATAAATTGTAGTATTCTAGTAGTATTTTATTCATTATGTTGTTGAATACAAAATTCTAATAAAAATAAACTTAAAATAGAATTATTAGGTAGCAACTTAATTATTTACTTAT